CATAAATAATCGGTGACTAGTCGACTATCAAAATAATCGTTTGTGGCAGCCCTACTTTTGACCCCCTTGCCCTAGATGTTTTTGGGGAATGTAGCACTTAAAACAATATGGTAATTTCATTTTTGGAGGTCAACGTGCACGCGTGCATGAAATATCCATGGTCATAGAGACTAGTTAAAATATAAATAAAATACTTCTCTAGGGAGTTTAAGAAGGGCAGCAAGTAGCAGAAGAAGCAGAGTGAACTGGAGCAGTTTTTGTGTCATAAATGACACAAAAACTGCACATAATACAGTTATGTGCTGTAGATAGTATCAGGCTTTATGAATCCATAAAACCCAACATTATCTACTGCCTACTTTTGAACCTGAGGAATATCTAGGCATAAAATGAGGTATTTTGGTGTGCACTTTGTGAATAATCTCCCCGCTATCGCTCTCCTTTCACACTTCACATTTCCAAAAGAAGCAAGAAATAAACATCTACATCTACTATCTACACCTGGTATTAGAGCAGGAGAGGAGAATACATCATTTTATTCTTAGTTATTGAGTTCATAAATTAAGACTTTAGCTTCTGTGTATATGTTGACTCGCATACTCACATTCTAAAATACGTTATTGTGCATGAAGACTAAATATCTCATGTGGAGTAGTTTGCATTAAAACCATGCAAACTTTTTCATGGCTATAATATTGAATTAAATGTGATTAGGCATTTTCCTACTCCTCTTTGAGTAGGAAATTGGAAAAATCCTCCTCAGTATCTCACTCTTTTCTTTCCACTAGGTGGAAACTCTGATGTTTTTAGAAAATAAAAGAGGACTAAAAGTTAGAAAGCAATCACTTTCCACTTTTGAGTTGAACTCCTGTATACAATCACAATTAATGTCTTTTAATAAGACTCATATTTCTGATTTCCTTTCTACTTTGTCCTTTGTTCCTTTCATTGCACTCAAAGCTGCAGCACTCCCACTGGTAAAATATGAGTGCACAGTTTCTCATGGGTTTGAATTTGGGAGGCAGTGTAAACAGAGCTTGTTGACTGCTAAGCAAAGAGAAAGAATACTAAGTTGTTTAAAATTCAGATGGTGAGGATTTTTGCTAAATGCTGTAAACCGCTGAAAAAAAGTCAAATCAAAGTCCTTGTGTGTTTTTTGTGTGCCAGAATCAGTGTCAGAATCTGCCTTCAGGTTAAATTAGGAAACAGACAATTTTCAATTGTGAATATGATTAATTTTTCTTTTTTTTTCTCTTTTTTTTTTTTTTTTTTACATTGAAATAGTGTTAGCAGATCATTAATGACTTGTTTAGCCAGCAGTTCTGTACTTTCGTTAAAACCTTTTCAAGACAAAATAGGTTAGAGATGCAGGGGCAAAAAGTGAAAAGAAAATAAACAATGTCATTAATTTATAATACTAGTACATCAATGTATGCTATTGTTCAGCCTATTCCTGCTACTGGCTGGGTGACATGATGATATGATAATATGTGATACAGATAACCTTCCAAAGCTTAAGCTGTCTGCCCTTTGTGGTTGCTTGACTTGTGGTCTTATAGTAGTAGTTGGCAGACAATGAAACAAATACAGGCACAGAATTTTGTATGTTATATTGAAGTAATATTTATTTGTCCAAGTGACAAAATTTTAAAGAATCAGCCTCATACAAACTGTCTTTTGTACAAGACTGTAAACAATAGTTGCTGTAAATATGGATATTTTAAAATAGAAATCTGTACGGATTGATTTTTGTAGCCAGTTTGAAGCGGCATTATTAGAAATGCAGGTTGCTGGTTGACGTTGTCAGGAAACATTGTGTGGCAGGCACAACAGGAAAAATGGGTAACAATGGGAAACTATAAATATGGATAAACTCAAGATCGTCAGAAATCTGAACTAGGAAACATAAGATACAGAGAGAACATAAAGACAAAGAAAGATTCAAAAAACCATTAATTCAAAACACTGGGTCAACAGACCACATACCCTAACAGATGTGAGTGTGACTGATTGTCTGTTTCTCCCTATGGGAGAGCCTCTTGATCTCCATTATACGCTGGGATTAAGATAGGTTAAAAGCAAAAAAAAATACATGTGTTGAAAACTGTGTTAAACACAACCTTTTTTTTCCCCTTTGGCCAAATGCATGTAAATGTACTCATATTAATTTAGTACTTTTATAGTTTGAGCCCTCTAAGTAGATAATACTACCCACTCACGCATGTATTCATAAAATTCTTGGCAGTAAATTACTTTAATTGCTTGAGGGGAAGCTACAGTGGAAGCGTGTCTATCATGCTGTTTTTGAGGATTCTTTAGAAAAGTTTAGTCATATGTCTGCACTAGAATCTGGTTGAGGAAGTTTACTTTCTGTGGCCATTATTGATTAAACCCATACTTTAAAATTAGTGCATCATATTAAATCAATGCTACAAGGGTTTTTATTGTATGTTTTCTGTGTACATTGCATAAAAAATGTGCATTTTATTTGATTATACACTGTGCCATATATGCGCCAACACTGGAGAACATGCACCCCATGCTTTTCTATTGCTCTTTTCCTCTATAGTGCCATAAATGCCCCAAGGATGCCATTGACCCTACTGCTGCCACTGAAGTGGAAGTGACTGATGGTGCAACAAAAACTGTGACAGCGTAAATGGAGCTGATTCATTCAGTTGCAAAGCAGTGAGCTCCTGTTACACTGCCACCATTCAAAACACTTAAAATGTTGAATTTCCAGCTCTAGAGTGCAGAACTGAGGCTACTGAAAGTTAAAACTCCTAACTCACATGATGGACAATTGGCAGCCCAAAGCAGTTTTCTTTTTTTAACCATTAAGTCACTTACTTCATATGGCTTTGGCCTTTGTACATTCTCAGCAGGATTGAAACACCTATTATGAAAATACAGCAGATGTGTCATTCCGTGGAAACATTCAAACATCAGTCATCAGCTCCTGTATCAAAGCAGTATTCTTTGACTGCGGAAAGCATTCGGTTGTAATTGCAACCGACCACAACGATCCAGTTTCAGCCCATTATTTCAATCAGTTTTGAATATCACAAAGTGTGTGGGTAGATCAACGAAAGAAACCTGACGCTGCACAGTAAGTGCATTTGCATATTGAAAATAAGTCTTGTTCTAAGCTTACATAATTTCTGAGAACATAATTGCTATTCCAATTTCAGCGTGTCGCATCAGAATATTACTTCACAATTACATGATGAAATGCACATTAGAAATTGTGTTTCTAGTTTTTTTTCTGTTTCTATGTTATGACTGGTTGCCTGTCTCTCTGTATGGGGGACCTCTCTACTACTTTTTAAAAGTAACACAGTGATTCTTAATAAATAAATAAAAAACAACACATATCGTTTCTATTGAACTTGGTTACTATTATTAGTGTATAATCTAAAAGTAATCGTATTAAATTCAGCTGCACAATCCCCTCTCTCTACACTGTGTCATACCAGAAGTTCAGCTTTTATAAGCATCAGCACATTTTTGAATCATAAATGTAGCATGCAATAGAGTACATGTTTTTAGTTCAAAGAAACAGGGAAAAAATAAATTAATAAATACAAATTTGTCATTTAAAAAAATAAGTCTATACGTAGTGGGGAGGGGTTGATCATATAAAGTATGTTTTTGTGATTTCCATGAGTACTCCCTCATGGAAATCACTGAATCTTAAAAATAACCCTACTTTCAGTGTTGTTTTTGTTCCTTCACAGGTGTGCACTCGGGGATGTTGTCACACACACAGCATGGCTTAATCGGTCAAGTATACTGTATGCTGGAGAAGACAAGTGGTCGATTGATCCCAGAGTGAGTTTGGTGACTCTTAATCAAGAGGAGTTCACCATCAAGATTGAAAATGTGGACATGACAGATGAAGGACAGTATGTGTGTGCAATCCAGACAAGCAGTCGACCAAGAACCACCTCAGTTCACATCCTCGTCCAAGGTAATGACGCCAAGATAAAGACAGCTACAGCTGCTGATATGATACTAAATTCAACAATGAGTCCTATGTGAAATTCTAGTAAGTTATTGTTTTTTCCGAATGTGCTACAAGCAATGAGTCTCTGGTAATCATAAAAAAAATTAATTTCCTGAACTTATACAGACACCATAACTTATACCTGCTGCAAATTAGTTTTTTTGTTCATGACTATTGCAATTTTAAGCTATCTTCCTTGAATGTGACTTCAAGCTAAGATATTTTTAGAACCGCTTGCACACATCCATTTTTTTTTGTTTTGCTAGTATACTATCTATGACTTCTATCTAAAGCACCAGCATAGCAGAGCTGAAGTGGGGGAAAAAAAACATATAGAGTCAAAACAGGCCTTCAGTGCCTCTCTTAAATCTCATTTTCTCATTCATCGCTCCACTGGAGCAATGAGATGCCAAATGCCTTGCTCAAGGAATGAGAGGGGAGTGTGTTTCTCATCCGCTATATTAGGTAAGGTTAATGGAGAATACCAGGTGTTAAGATGCTTAGGTTATAATGATGTGTGGAGTTGTGATAGTCTCCTAATGGAATTCAGAACACATTGAGGTGCATTGGATTGTATACACACAGTGCAATGGGGCAGTTTAGAGCTATTTGATATGCAGATATGTAGCATGCATATATGTGTGTATATGTATATATGTGTATATGTGTATATATATGTGTATATATAT